TATGGCTCATATACCATATAGGGACAGACGCTGGAACGAAGCGGAGCAGAGCGGAGCGAAGCGGAAGAATCTGTCCAAATAAGGAAGTTACGTTATGTGGGTTGGGGGTGTTGGGTCAACGTCTCACTATACGATACATGAGTAATTTGGGAATTGCATATTGTACTGTAGAGTTTACTCTAGGATTATAAATAGAACTGTTTGCAATCCTAGGTCCTCGAGAGAGTTGAATTTTGTATTCTGTATTCTTTTTTGAATATTGAAAAGGAGGTCGCCGCTCTGCTCCCGAGGATGTAGCCATCTTTGCCGAACCTCGTTAAATCTCTGTGTTCTTCTGGATTTGTGTCGTTATTACTGTTTTTCTTCGCCCTTATTTTCCCAACAGTTTGTTAAATAATTTTAAAATATTTTAAATATATTTGGATTGTGCCAAAAGGTTTATTGTCGTAGATTGATTATTTATTGCATTTTCTCCTCGCTGCAACAAAAAAGAATATCTTGTTGTTTGAAGGTTATATAGAATAAACACTACTTTCCTCTTTACTGTAACGAAAAGAAGTTCACGTTGTTTGTCTGTTGCGCAGGGCGGGAACGACTTTACTCTGCATCTCAACTTTGTGTTGTAACTGAGCACCGCAGCTTTGCGCCACAACTCGACTGAACAATTCTGCACCGCAACTCTGCTCTGCAACTCGATACTGCAACTCTGTGTTGTAACTCGGCATGGAAACTCTTTGCCGCAACTCGACACCACAACTATGCATCGTAACTCGGCACTACAACTCATTGTCACAACTCAACACCGCAACTCTGCATTTTCGCTTTGCCGCGCAACTCTACATTGCAACTCTTCACAGTTATGCATGACGACTTTCTTCCTCTTAGAAAATATGGTACCAGATGATAGTCTTGAACTCAACATATCGACGAGACAACCCACTACCACGCGTCGTTGCGATGCATCACCCCGACACACTGCCGCAGAGCGTTTTCGTGATGCCCAAACGCGACCCCCCCTAGCAATGCATCGCCGCGATGCTCCGTCGCGATGCACCGTTGCAACGCATCGCCCCAATGCATCGCCCTGATGCACCGTCGCACACGTCACGTCGGCGTGACGCTTCATCCCGACACTCCGCCAGAACACATCGCCCCAACGCACGATGGCAACGCGATGCCCCGACGCACAACCGCAATGTGTTGTCGTGACTCAGCTCCACTTCTCCAACTCTATCCTCTCTTTTAGACGTATTTATATGCTCTAAAAAGAGTTTCGACCATTATCTGCTAAATATTATATAAATTAAAAATTAAGTGCAAGTATTAAATAATCATAATTAGTATTAAATGCTCATAAAAAGATTGAGAAAAAAATACATATATTTCATAAACCCATAAAAGATTTGACTTTTCATGTTTAAAAAAAAAAAGCAATTTCTTTGCCTTGACAAGTTTCAAACGCGAGACATTTGGCTTGAACCAGCAAAGACCAACCAAATAAACAGTTTTGAAATTCTACACTATATGTAGATTTATATCATTCTTATTTAAAATTAAGAGATGATAAACTATGATAAAATATTTAAAAGTATGCATCACAAAAATGAAAAAAGATTTATATATAAATATTTTTGGATGATGAAATTGGACTCGCCCAAAAATAGGGGAGCAACTGATACGCCACAAATAAATTTTCATTGTCTGACACGAATCTCGAAGCATGACACATATCTCGAGATAATCTTTTGAGCAAGAGATGTTTAAACATTTATAAAAACTCATCCAATATTCTGATTTCAACAAACTTATGGTCAAACTAACCAGTTCATTGAGACGGACCTAATGATGTCATAGTCAGTCCAATCCGAGTCAAATCAAGCTCGTACAAAATCATTAAATCATTCTTGTAAGATTTCCAGACACATTTGAAAGATTAAAATATTGACGAATCTAGCAAATTTATAGTCGAATCGAGTGTCTCGAAAAGGCAAATCCAACTGACCAAATATCACTCAATTCTGACATCAGACATTTAGATATCCATTAAACACCGTCTGATGGAAGAAAGCTATCCAGACTGTTCGACCAAAATGATTTATATTCCTGCATTAATTGCATCTAGAACACTACAAATATACCCCCACCCCTCACATGAGTGGGAGTTGAATCCTATAGATAGTGCCTGGGGCCTTGATCTGGAGCTATAGCTCAGCATCACAACCGACCGACTTCGATCACCGTCGACCACCGCCAATCGCTGTCAACCATAATTGACAACCATCGACCGTCGCAGACCGCTGTCGACCTTCATCGACCCCCGCTGACCGTCGTCGACCAATGTCGACCGTCGTCAACTTCTACCAACCAATCACTGTCAGTAAATGTTGGGACAATAGCTCATAACTACGGTCCATGTGCCAATAACGACCTATGTGGTCCTCGATTCATGTAGCTCTTGATTCCAGCCCTCGCAGCTTACAAACGTCATTCATACTTGTTCTAATGATCTACATGATCATTAGCTCGTGTAACTTTCAACTATGACCCTCATAGCCTAAGAACATCATTCATACTTGCCCTTACGACCTATGTGGTTTACAACTTAAGTTACTCCCATCTATGACCCTTGAGGCCTACATACGTCATTCATACTCCTCACTACGGATTATTGGATCCACAACTCCCGCAAATTGCTTACTATGATTTTTTTGGTCAATTAATACTTCTGAAGCAACCACTTACAACACTCACAACAAAATACTAGCTTCACAATAATCAACAATGACCATTACAACATGCTGTCACCAAGAACAACAATCTGATTATAGTTATACAGCTTTGTAATTTCATCTTCCCAAATTTAGGAGAACGAACCAATGCATTCATAATTCATAGTAGATTATTTCAATTGTATTAGACTTGATATTTTTCTTATTTCAAGGGTTTTTCACATAAAAAATCAATGAGTCTTTATTTGCTTACTTTTATTCTTTTATATATGTATGCTGAATTCTCGTGCAAAGCAAAAACAATAATTCACTATCGCCACAAATTTCTTAGCACACATTATATATATATATATAC